TCCCCATCGACAGGGTGCTGACCGCCCGTGCCGCTGTGGGCACTCGATGAAGCAGGCTCCTGCCAGTGTGTCCTGTCGTGCCTCTGAATCGAACCATCACAATGAGTGCAGTGTGTAAGTACGCGGCAGATTCTGGAATGCTTTCCCAACTGATTCTTCCCTTCATGCGACACGAATAACCATGATTGACGGGCTTTCGTCTTTCCGCCATGAACCGAACAGCTCATCCTAGTGCCAATGTACAACGGCTCTAATCATTCCCCTTTAATGTCCCTTGACGCGCCTTGATGCTGTCAGCAACAAGAAACCGTCGCAAGAAAAATAGCTGCCCGTTTCCAACATATTGTGCACAAAGCCTTGCTAACGGTTATGAGCCGCTTGGCTCCGTGTGTTCCTAACCTAAACAGAGTTTAGACTGAGTTACACCCGATCTTATGGTTTTCGAATCGGGCTATATGAATCAAGGGGACTCATCCGAGGTGGGTACTTCTTCCCAGACTGGAAAGTCGTACATCTGGCCAGACAACTGACGCTGATTCTACGCGATCCTCCCGCTCATGTGCATCTCCATCTGTCGCCATCTCACATAATCAGGGACGGTCTGTGAGCAGTGTAGACTTTCAAGAATGCAATGAATGGGGGCCGTGGAGCGTAAAGATGAGAACCCAAAACGTCGGATTGCTCCTTCCTCAATTGAATGAGAGAAAGCGCCCGTCGTCAATCGGATGCATACATGGGGGGATGTTGATAGTATAGTGAGTTTTCGGCCTTCGCCGTCTCGGCCAGGGTCCTTTCCGGCGACGCGGACGTTCTCTTCCTCTAAGCTGATGGGGTCGTATTCAATCATAAGGCTTGTCTTGTACACATATTCCGCTTGTGGTATCCGCGTTGTGCATACGGACTTTTGAAATCTCTCAGGCCACTGTCGTGATTATACCCATCTATTACCGGCTTTTGTGTCTTCGGTTTCGACCTAACCACAAAGGCTAGCGGTCACGACAGGCTCCTTGGCTCTCACCCATCGAAGGTATCGAGTGTTCTAGCTTCCACCCGTAATCAAATATCGCAACCCGCCACCCGTGCTTGGCTTCATTTGGTTGGCTAGTGGCGGCCGCCTGCTTTGGTCCAGAGGCATGCGCGCGTAGAACATTGCCGTTGCATGTGTAAGCAGGTGCGCCATTGTTAATTGGCTTGAATAGACGCTCGTTACCCCCTCATCATCATCAGCAGCCCTTTCTAGTCTTGTAGTGCGCTGACAAGAACTCATATTGGTTTTTGGTGGGCGTGGTCAGATGTGCCCGGATATACTGCTTCCCCTGGCAAAAAGTTATTTGACGGACATAACATCGACATGTTAGTGCAGGCCCGTCCCAACCCCGAGCCTAAGCCTTGTGGATCTCTGGTCTTCGGGTGACAGGGACTTTCCCACTCTACATAGTACGTGCTGAGCAGCACCGTCGGTGGTCGGTGTTTGGCTGTCTGAGCACCGTCTGGAGTTTTGAGTCGGAAGACCTCCGGCCTAAATGTGGCTCCAGCGCTGGACTCGGGTCTCGAACTGTGGAGAGGAGCTCAGCTTCGTGGATGCCGGTCTTGTCCCTGAGCCAGGGCTTCATTTGACTTCGGGTTCCGTCCGAAGGTGGTCTTGGGACCCTCTTTGGACGGCCTGAAAGCAACCATCACATTTCATGTCGCAAGGCAGCAGTACTAGTAGCTTGTACCCCCTAAGTCCAAACAGCGCTAATTCCCCGTCTAATTTAGAACGTCCAATGCTCTGGGGACGCCAGAACACGATTGGCGCTAGCGCCACAGCTCAGATACGATGTGAATGTAGCAGAAGTCATTCGCGTGTGAGGGCGGGATTGAGGGTGTCGAAAGTGTCTTCATATATGGTTGAAACAGCGTAGGCCAGAGTGGATTCGTGACAGGTGCGACGCTGGCAATGGTGTTTATAACGGGAAAACATGCTCCAGGGCGTGCGATTAAGACACAGAGTATGGCGCTCTCCAATGCACAGGTTTTAGGACGGCCACTAAGCGGTGCAAATGATGATACTGATTACCAATGTGGGACCGAGTTTTTCCAAGATTATCTGGCAGTCCGTCATCAATCAACAGGGTCGTCGCCGAAGGCGAGCAGTGTTCGATGCCCCGCAAGTTGGGATAAGAGTATGGCCCAATGTAGAGAAGTCCGAGGGGAACTTTTGTCGGCTGTTAAGCGGGAGAGAGGTGCGGAGAAGAAGGGAGGGCGTATGACGAACGCCCGTGGGATAAGTCCAGCCACTGGAGAGATGCCGGGAGTGTCCTATCCGTTGATTGAATGTGAGATGAATATTCTTGTGGTGCGTCAAGCCCTAGCGTGGTAAAGATGCGGCAAGCCTTTGGGCGTGATGTCTTAGAGCACCAGCCTTAGGGGCATTAAGACATGGTCGACGACGCCATGTGATGTGGGTGGATCTCAAGAATACTGGGGCGGCTGAATCGAAAAGGAAAATGCCCGAGATTTGGCCCCCAAGCAGAAGAGAGGAAGTTATCGGACAAGACAGGCAGGTCACTGGGCAAAATGTTGGAGAACGGCAGCAGTATCGTCTGCGAGGTGAGATAGGAAAGTCAAGGCTGGCGAGCTGAAGCGACAGGGTAGGCGAGGTGCAGAAGGATGAAGCGCGGCCAAGCAAAGAAAAAAGATGTTGCCTAGTCTGAAGGCAATGCTAATGTTGAATTGATAATGAGATGAAGCTGAAGCCTTGTAGCGATGGCAGTGCAGGCGGAGCGCAGGCGCGATGCATGCGGCAATGCTTTAGTGGAGAGAAAGGAAGGCTTTCTTTCCGTTTGAAACAGTAACTGGGGGGAGCAAAACAGTTGGAATTCTCTGCCCATGGTGGGCCATAGGCTGAGGGCCGTGGGCCATATGGCCAGGCCGGGTTTAAGGGCCAGCAAGAGGCAACGATGTCCCTAATTTACCTTAATCCAGCCACTGTAATTCATTAGATTTAAGGCGAAATGGGGAAGCTATGAATCAATGGCCGCTTGTGCCTCTCTAAGTCACTTTGGGAGAAGGGTTTATGACGATGACGTCCAAAGGCCGTGCTGCAAAAGATTTCCGGCAGGCAACTGCCGTCAAGTCCCCAGCCGCACATCGACCGCTGACACAAGCCGGCAAGCAGCACGGGGCGCTTGACACGACCAGTCTCATGATATTCAAGGACGGTGCTCGGATGAAGGCATGCAAGGAAATAAGGTGCCTTGGGACCTATTGCAGACAGGCCATGTGTTGAAAAAAGCTGACGTCTGTATTCTCCTTACCAAGGCTTACCAAGGCTTTCCAAGGGGCCCAGTTATGAAAAACCAGGAGTCAATATAGCTGGCAAAAGCCTGAAAACGCTAACACGACCCGTCACGGTGCACGGAATGGTCAGCCCAGCACATAACAACACACACAGTCAGTTCTGACGGTATACTTGACGGGGAGTAAGAATGCCTGTATCATATACTTCGTTGTAAGACCCTAGGGGGGAAAAAAAAGCAAGAATGGTGCTCAGCTGAATGTTTCTGGAACAACGTAGGGAAAGTTTAGCATGGTACAGTTTAGCTTAAGGTCTTACTATGTAGTAAGCTATGGACATAAAACTGGCAACCCCATTCGACAAACTTGCGTATCAAGGAAAAAGAAAAAAAAGAAAACAAAAGAGTCTTTACAGTGTGGCGTTTGGAAAGGATGTTGTTGCTGACGGACGCTACGTGATCTTCCCGCGCGGGAAAGCCTCTACCTTGTACACACACCACCCACACATAAGTTCTCAGGTGCTAATTTCGCCGCCTACGAAGCTTTCGGGGATGAATATAATCTAGAGAGACAAATGAGGCAAGGTACACTGTAGTCTTGCTGGTTTTGGAAGGAAAAAGAAGCTGCGGCAGACCTGATGAGCCGGGCAAAGTTGTGGAAGGCAGCCAGAAACAAAAAAAGGGCAGCAGAACGCCTAACTGGCAAATGTCAACACACCACCTGCATCATGAGAACGCCTAGCGCAAGTCGCGCACCCACTGCGGCTACCCTGGCGCAGACATCTCACACGCTCGTCTAACCTTCTAAATTGAGCCAAAGTTGGCCGGTCACCTTTGCCGTTGCGGTACCGGTCGGAATCAACCTGGACATAACATCCACAGGGACTTATGCAGTGATCGCAAAGCTGGGCGGCCTGACCTTGTCTTCGCCCCGTACCGTCATGGTACTTGATAGTATTAGTGTGCCTCACTGAGAGGGTACTGTACTCTTTCAGTGTCCGTAGGTGCAGATGGATGGGGTTTTGCCCCCAGTTGCGGACAAGGAGCGAGTGAGGACAGTCAGAAACCGACCACCTGCGGGGTTCTTCGAGAACACCAGAGATCAAACCTCAAATATCTGCCTTGGCTTAGACCTGGGCTAAGAGTGATGGATCTTATGAATAGGCAAGCAGCGTGGAATACCTTACTCATGTTTTTGGGTCAAATTCCATAGCATGTGGAAATCCATATTTGTTCGAAATGCCTTAATGAGAGGACAAGACCGGGCCTCCGTGGACGAATGTTGTTTGCTGGTCTTTCTCTCGTCATCATGTTTCCTTCCTCTACCTCGCCCCGTACCTGCCTCTTGCAGGTTCCTTACGAGGCGTATGCCGCTATACCAAAGGCGACTAGCGCTCTAAGACCCACTAGGTGCGTACACCACTCTTCCCGACCTCGTGCTGTCTCCACCTTGGACTGACGACGAACGATTTTGTTATTATCATTTTTTTTTTCCTCCCTCTCTCTGGTCCCCGACTTCCCTCCATCGTGCTCACGTTCTCTCCACCACACCATCCAAAGGGGGGCCACAAGCAGCACAAGCATCAGCAGGGATTATGATCCTTTGTTCCAATCTCTCTTTTGGAGGGTTTCCTACGTACCTTTCCTCTCGCCTTCTGTCGTTCTTGCTCCCGAGTTGCCCTTCGTCTCGCGGATGCATGTTGTCACAGGTCAATTTCTCTGATGGACCGTCCTGCAACCCGACGGGGGACGGACGGTACCTCCCAAATATGCCCCAATTCTGTCCATTGTTACTCCGTACCTTTGACAGCTATCTTATTCGAATGTAATGCTGCAGGTCTGGCTGGCTTCTCCTTCCTTCAGTCCCCCAACATGATACCCCTCGATTGGAAGTCCTTCCCAAACGACCGTTTCCAGCAGCTCTTCCTCTTTAAAAAGACTTACCGGGAAAAGGTTTCGTTTTTCTTCAATTGCACGTTCTTTATCGGTTCTTGCCGCCTGCTAACATTCTCATGGTTATGGCCAAGGGAACGCACGAGCAATAAAAAGAAAACATGATTAATTGTTGATTGGGAGCATCACAAAAATTTTGTCGGACCAACATGCATCATTTTTTGCCCTGACCAGTGCCGGACTAGGCTTGCTACACAAAACCGCCGTCCCGGCGTACTGGCTCCCGGCCCAACTGTGCCAGTCTCTTGGGGTCCAGCGGGCGTCGAGTCTCTACACATTGAACAACCTGAAAGGCGCATATTTACGCACTCATACACCCATATACGCACAAGCGCAAACTTGGTACATTGACACTCCATTTGTATGTCTCTCTCACACAACCAATGCAGCCCAGCCCGTCAGCTAGTCGCAGGACCTCTCTCATGTGGTCTCCAGTCCGTCGTCTCGTCAATTGTCTTGATGCCAGTCCTTCCTCTCAATTCCTCCCATGCCTTTTTTTCTCCCTCCCCCATGACTGTTCTTTTCAGTCTTTGAAATGGCTTCACAACTCGCACGCCCCCCGTTCCTCGTCGGTGTCGAAACTGCTGCCCCAATAGGGAATTAAGAGTGAATAATCCACCTTACGCGATCACAGACCAACTCTACACTACGACGTTAGTTTGTCCAGTGGCCCGCCCACGCCCTGTAAATTTGTACCACAGTACACTATCCGAACCCAGAACCCAGTGATCTGTCTCCCCTCACTCTTTTTCGTGTCGCCAGCCAGTGCCCGAGCGATGTCATCCGTTGCGTGAGAGAAACCCTCTTCTCTTTTCACCATGCATGTACGGAGTAGCTACGGAAAGCTACCTTCCCTGCCTTGCCTCGCTGGCCCTGCCCTGCCCTTCAACTTTCCTGAGCTGGGTTCGCAGCACCCGTACCTTGGACCTTAGAACTGAAGTGCGCTAGCCATAGCCCTGCAGCCCATCCCAAGCAGGGACGTTGAGGGTACCGACCGGGGCGTTCATACGATGGCTGCCAATGCTTTTGCAGAAAATGCTGGAGCCTATCGATCCCTTCCCCGTCCCCGCCACAGCCCCCCCTTGTCTTTCTTCACTTGTTTGACTGTACCCATCTACTGCTCATCATCCCCCTCCCAGAAACCGAGGATTGAGAGGTTCACTCCCCAAGGTCCATACCTGGGTATTACATGTCACACATACAGCGCATAGCGCACGCACACACACACACACACACACACACACACCTCTCTCGACGCCGCCGCCGCCGCCGCACTTACACCTTGCTCACTCTATCCAGAGAGAGACAATCTCTCGCGCTCTCATCCGCGTCTACACACCCCTCCAAGTTTGGTCTTACACGCCTCCCTACACACCCCTCCCCTCCCTGTCCCCCGACCGTTGGGACCACACCCCTCCTCCTCTTCCTCTCACGCTGGTCTGATGCTGGCCTGGTACCTTTCTCTCTTCCCCATCCTGGTCACTTCAATCCCATCTCCTCTGCTTCCTCGAACCCCTGCCACCGTCTGGGGCCTACCTTCATGTAGCGTAGCTTGTCTCTTTGAACATGCCCGTCTATGGGTGCTTTCCCTCCGCCTGTTGCTGCTGCTACTACTGCTGCAACTACTACATGGGTGGAGGGTACGTCAACAAGAGGTCGGGATCTAGTAACTCCACTACATCTTTTCACTGCCCACTTGCCATTTATAAGACAGTGCCCGCTCCTTGACCTGTGAGGCTGAGATTTTTAACCTTCTGATGATATCCAAGTATAGCATCCGTGATCTCAGTTGAACGGAAAGCCTCCACCTGGCCAGCAAGCAATCCTTCCTTCTCCAGATTTCTTAACTTCGGTGCCTGATTTGCATTGGTCTGTTATAAGTCCAACTCACTCTCCGCCTCTTCAGACATCGTCACTGGCTTCACTGCATCAACACATACATACACATACACACAACCGGTAGACGGCGTTTCACATATACCCAACATCAACAACACTACCGGCTTCGACCATCACCACCTCGTCCGTATGTGCCATCCAGAGTTTCTTCCTAGTCTTTCTTCTTCTTCATCAATGGCTTCAAGTTATTCTGAGCAGGGTTGCGAGAACTCTTACTCACTGCCACCCAGATCCAGAGCAGGAAGCCACGTATCGGCCACAGCTGCTCAATTTGCAAACATCCAGCTCATCGACTCCCCAAGAACCCTACCGATCGAGTCCAGCCCCTCCATTAGCTCCGAGGCTCTTCATTCCTCTGGCTATATCAGTCCCAACCCTCCCCACTCGGCCTCGTTTCTCTCAACTCCCAGCTCGCAGGGATACTCGCCTTTCCCTCTCCTGCCACCCGAGATCTTGAATGCAGAGTGGAACGACAGCGAAGTACATCGACAGACTTCAGACTCGACGCCCCTCGTCCGAGTAGACCCAGCCCAGGACTACTCTCACCATCAATCCTCCTCACCACTGCCAACCGGAGCAAGCATGAGGTTCGCTCCAGGCCTTGCACCAGTTTAAATCTTCAAGACGTCTCTAACTTTTTTTTTTCTCTTCTTCAGCACCGTTGCTCTCCAATTTGACCCCACGTTCACTATGGGAAGCCGTTCAACATTCACCTGGCCTGGTAATTACCCCTAAAGCTCTTGACCCCTCTTTCTTGTGTATTTTCGAGCTTCTCTAACGCGTGTAAATGTACAAAGGCCTCGACAACAGCGAATCAAGCGGGACACTTCTCGGCCACAACCTCGCATCCCTTGGCTCTGCATCAGACGCCAGCCTCACACCGCCCAGCGGATCCAGATCAGTAACGGCGAGCCCTCCGCGGGGCGTCTTGACTCCTGAGCAGCGGGAACTGAAAAAGCAGAGGGACCAGGCACGCCGAGACTCCAAAGCGTCCGCACGCGGAAGGAGGACCGGAAGCAACCCTTACATTCACTCGCCTCCTCTGTCGATGCCCGATGTCTCTAGCACCATGGGCGTTCCCGTCTACACAACAGCTCCCGCTCCAATTTCACTCCTCGCCGAGCCGACAACGACTATGGGAGCCTCATCATACCTCCCCTCGTACAGCCCGCCCCTATCAGACCATGGCTACCAGAACGGATACCCACCAATGGCGCCGGCGTACAGCCTAGGCGGAATGGACTATTCCAACCAATTCCAGCCCCCAGCACAGTATAGGTACGTATGGAACGAGAAGCCACCAACGCTTCCACAAAAGGGACTTTGGTTGGCTTGGCAAGGCTTCATCAAACTAACGTGCAGCCCGCGCAGTAGCAGACCCCCGATGCCAGTTGGCCAGGACCCGAGCATGATGTACGGCGTACCGCCCACGATGGCCCCCGGGGCCGGACCAGACCAGGGAGGACATGTTAGGGTGGTGCAGAGCCGCCCTAAGCCCCAGTGCTGGGAGCACGGGTGCAACGGGCGACAATTCTCGACGTTCAGCAACCTTCTAAGGCACCAGCGCGAAAAGTCTGGTCAGGCGGCGAAGGCAACCTGCCCCAACTGCGGAGCAGAGTTCACAAGGACAACAGCAAGGAACGGCCACCTTCTCCACGACAAGTGCAAGCAACGCCGCAACACATAGGTAGTCCTCACGTGTGTGCCTTGATTTTGTTTTCCGCCAGCCAGCATTAACGACCGCGAAGACGCGTATGAAATGAAACAATTATTCCGTTGGCTGGGCAAAGAGGAGGGGAAGATGGGTGAGGGCAACATGGCTTTGGCTTGCTTGCCCTGGCCCAACCCGCCAACGACCAACAACGTATGAAAACGACCAACACCGCACTGCGCACCGACCCTCATTCCCGCTCCCCCTCCTTCATTTTATTTATGCTTCCTCTCACCGTCTATCATTCGAACTGTATATCCTAGGGAACAGGGCAAGGGGGAAAAGGGACTTTGGCAAAGATGTGGGGAGCGGAGGAACGAAGGACAAAGATTCCGCCTTACAAGAAAAAAAACAAGCTCGACTTATTAGAAGGACACTGGGACAAATGCTTAGGAGGATGGTGTTATTTTGTTTTGATTTTTCTTTTCTTCTTCTGCCTCTATTGTTTTGCTTTTCCGCTGCATTTTCCTTTCTTTGGAGGGTGGCATTTTTTGGCCTATGCTTTACGCAAGTGACAGCAGCAAGCACCACGGGCGTTGAGAGGAGACTCTTTTTCTCTCTTGCCGACAATTATTCTTCTTCTTCTTCTTATTCTATAAGGTTGCTTCTTCTTTTCTTCACGCTTTTCATCTTTCAAGATATACCCTTTCTTTAGCGTTTCCGGTGGGCAAAAAAAAAAAACGCATCATTCTAGCCAGACTTACATATATTCTGCCCTCCACTGGATATAGCATCCTCGATCTGGATATACTCCTCTCGATGAAAATGACCCGAAAAAAAGGGCCATCAAATCAAAATCTGATCAGTTTACCATGACGGAGTTCCCTCAAAACCCCACCGTGAACCGTGACCCCCCCCTCCTTAATTGGAAATTTCCTATTTCCACAGTTATCTCGCGAATCCAGGTACAAGTTTACTTGCCCACTGGCATCGATGATGACGCCGTGAAATGAAGAACACGATGAAAAAGTTGGGAGAGTACATACAAGCATACAAGCAATAACAGTAGCAGGCAGGGGAAGAATGGAAAGAGAGCCCAAAAAAAAAAAAAAAAAAAGAACTTCCATGTCCATGCTCGATGGCACACCCCAAGCTGGTCCCAACCAAACCAGGGTCCCATGGGCAGGGTCACAATGGTCGCTTTCCAAAACAATGGAACTTGGGTTTTTCTCCCCCCCCCCCCCCCCCCCCCCTTCGACATGGCCGGCCGACCATAACTGCTACACTACGGCGACCTGCCAGGCCCCCTGTCCATCCATGGAGCAGGCAAGCGACCGCGGCGAGCGGCGGCCGCGCCGTGAAGAGGGGGTTAAAAAAAATAAAAAAAGATAAAGGTACTACGATGGGCCCTAAATTATTACGGATACTCTACCAAGGGAACAATAAGCATTTTTGGGAAGGATTACGAGATGGGGCCGATACGGTTGCGTTAGTTGGGGGCAGTATACGAACAGAGATTAGAGAGTTGAGAGCCTAAAAGGGAAAATGCGATTCAGTTTTGTGATTCACACTCGTACTTTTATTCTTTGATCCGATGTCAATCGGACTTTTGTCCCAGTTGTCGTCGTCAATATGGAGATGGAGATACGACGGGTTGTGGTGGGCGGAAGAGGGGGGGTAGAGTAAAAGGAAGGGAAGGGAAGGGGGCCGCCATGTTTCCAGACGACAAGCGGCCCTGGCCTTTCGGAGTCGCTCTCCGTCTAAAGGAGGGAGACGCTGTTGCATAAGCGCCTCCGCCAAGTGGTTTATGACTGGGTGTTTCCTAGTGATGTCAAGATCATTCGAGCGGAGTTTGGAGGATACCAAGCGTGCTTTATCCGGCGAGCCAGGCCAGGGTTAAAATCACAACCTAGCTCATGGGGCCCCTACTTAATAACTGGGTCCCCGTTTGGGGGCCCCAGTTCCCAGCGACGGAGCCACGGATCGTGGGGCTACGGCGGTATAATACCAAGAAGCCGGCGGGAATAATTTGTCGTCCACGTGTAAGTGAATGCACTACCGCGCCGCGCGCAGCATCTCATACCGCCTATCAACGTCAAGGCAGTTGATGATACCAAGGATTTTGGGTGTTCCCGGTAGAGTGGATAGTCTCCTCTTTGTGCTGGCGCTGGATCAAGACGGTGCGGCCCCAGCATGATGCTTTGATGCTGTTTTTGCGGATCTCTGAGTGTCACCATTGATGGTTTTGAGACGGCGCCTTGAGGTTCCTTCCCATGAGTCGTAAGGAAGTTCAACACAGAGATCTTTGGGAGATGCAATGAGTTTTCCGGCTTCATGGGTCAATACAGCTGCCTGCTGTTAAGATGTTAGGGGGGTCCTCCCGAGATCCTGTTCACGGATCGACAGATAAAAGATTAGCGCTGTATGACACAGCAGCAAGGCGAAAACAGACAGGCGGGTTGAATTCTATTGACGGGCCTCTCCTTCTCATCCCAGTTCCCAACCTGTGGAGCAAAGATGCTCTGGGTCGTAACTGTAGTCCCAAGGCGACTGACATGACGGGCGGTGATGAAACCATATGCAATCGTCATTTCGTACACGCCATACTGGGTTTAGCCAGGCAGAAGTAAAGCTTTCAAGGGGGAAGGAGACAAGCAGGTGAAGGATGCAGATTGCTCAAAACAGGCCATGACGACGTGCATCTTCCCATCTGGAAAAGCACGGGAGACGGGGCTTATCGAATCCGACTCGATCCATACCTCTTCTGTCGACACTAGCCCCGGGGAGGCAATTGCAGACCCGCCTCCCGTCGCAGCGGCCCTAGGCCTGGCTCTGGGCCCGGACTGGAACCTGGAACCCGGGCTCGCGGTTTCTAGGACTCTGGCGACAGTTGGCAGATCGACGTCCGCGGATAGCCCAGCCTCAGTTGAGGCAAGATAACGAAGTTGTTGCACCCTGTCGAGTCACAGAACCGCTGTATTTTGCAAGCGTCCTTTCAAGAATCAGAATAAGAAAGGTGTGTTTAACCAGCAATATGGAGCTCAGCGCTGGGCATCTCGCAATCTCGACCACCTGCGTTGGTTGCCGGTGGTTGCGGTGAGCGTCCAGCAACGAGCGATGCGGTAGGTACGTAACTAGTTGCAGGGTATCCCAAGGTAGCGAACTGCAGGTGTAGCTTCCCCCGCCCTTCTCGACCCCCCCTCCCTGTCCTACACAGCCGCGATGGAAATAGTATGGGTCCTATTATGTAGGGACGCTCTCAGGTTGCGACCGAATGAGAGCCCAAGGCCGGTTTTAACGTCCATCTTTCCCCGAGTTCATTTGACAATGATTGGGGTTGAGCGAGATGGGGGGTTGCAAACGAAAGTCTGTCTTTAGGCATCGACATAAGATCAAGTCAGAGGCGCACTAATGCATCATTCTTCTTGCGGGATTGAGATGAGAGTTGCTTTTTTGGAAATTGGGAATTGGGGCTTGGAACGGGGCCGGCTGGGCGAGAAGGAGCAAGCGGGCGGGCAGCGGGCAATGACGCGCGATGGCGAGCGTCCGGCGGTTGTTGTTGTTGTTGGTGGCCACCACTCCGAGTCTGACAATGTCCGTCGGTCGCTTGTCATCCCAAGCCTCTTCGTCCTGCAGGCGCCGCGGTCGAGGCATCACGCGCGCTGGTGCGCGGATTCCGTGAGAAAACTGAACCATGTTGGTGTTGGCGAGGTGTGTGCGTGCTGCTGTTGCTGCCACCGCTGCGTCAAGGGCGTGTCATCCTCCCAGTCCAACACACACGCAGACGCAGCCAGGTGGCGTACACACGCCCACCATGACTATGGAATCAAAAGGCATGCATTTGCAGTGCAATGCATCGCGCAGTAAGAAGCGGCGTGGGTGCCACCCGGTTGGTGTCAGGTCAGAAGCAGGCGTTGGAGGGGGGAGGTAAAGAGGGTGATTTGAAGAGGGACCAATGACAGAATCTAAGTGGACAGGCCGGACTTGATGCTGCGCGGCCCACTTGAAGCACCAGCCTGTCAGCCCTCATCCGACAGACATGGGGGGAAACTGCGGATGACAGTGAAGAAAGTGCAGGGAAAGTGCGGTTTGGTGGGCACAAACCAAGACCTGCACCTCGTCTATCAACACCAAAGTACCTCTGCCTGCCTTGCGTATCCATTACCTGGCCTGCGGAGGTGCTGCTTGAGCAACTTGGGGAACCATTGAAAGCTGGTCCTCTCTCTGTCCCTCTTTTTTTTTTTTTTTTAACCATCCGATATTTCTCCCCACTACCACCTTCAAGCATGGTACCCCCAACATCCCATCCATACACACATGTGTAATATACTACGTGGTAGTGTGCTTATGCTTCGGTCCCGAGTCTTCGTCCGAAACACCGCTGGGTTTATCGATGTATGATATTCGTGATTGGTTTATAATACATCTTTTATCGGACTCTCCGCCCCCAAATTCCAGAGTGGAGTGTGCGGTCGCTACCCGAAACTCTCGCAATGACCAGCTTTTGGCACCAACTTTTTTTTTTGTAGTGTTACTTCAGTTGTGTAGCATTCACCACCGGTACGTCGCTTACTATGTCTACTTCATCCTCTGGGGGGGGGGAGGGGGGAAACAGCTCATCGACGTTTCTCCACTCACTCCCTCCAACCCCTTCCCTTCGAAAAGCTCGAGCCCTGCCCTATGAGGCACATGGCTTACAGGGAACTTTCAAACTGGGAAAGCGCGGCGGAAACAGAGCATGGAGATAAGCGGCTTCATTGGGGAGGGGGTGAGCAATATACCCACAAGGCAATGCGAAGTGTGAGACAGAAGAGGGGAAACAGCTGATTGAATCTGAGGTAATCTCTCGCAAATTCACCTATTGCCTCAATCCAGTCATGTACGTACGTGCCGTGGGATGCCGGGACGGTAGCGGAACCCCGCGAGCGAGTACCGTAAGCTTCCCCTCGTCGTGAATCTTGTAACCGTATACGACTAGTTATTTCAGTCCCGACATGTTGATAGGCTAGCTAGGTCAGTTCGTTCGCCCCATGGACTCCATAGGCCGATGTGATGAAGAAAGGTCACGTCAGTTGAACTTCGATTGCCTTGCTTCTTTAGGCCCGAGAGAGAAGGTCATGGGTAGAGGCTTTCTCCGACATCGAATCCGACACGTCGGGAATTGTCCTGGGTGGTAAAGAGTACTAAGTAGTCATTTGCTCCTTTGAAGACTCGGCACGCCTCCCCTGACAATTGGCCTGGGGTTTTTGCTGGGTTAGGACGCTGTTAAATGGGGTGGACGGGTCCTTGGCCTGGATATTAAATAATGCCCAGCTAGTTGTCCATGCACTTCAGCTGTTGGCCACTGAACCCAGAAACCCGTGTAGAGAGCCAAGCAGGGGTGGATGTGTACAGGGGGTGGGGTTGCAACGGAGCGCAAGTCCGTACCGATCACCCTTGATGGAGCGCTCTGCACAAATGTACTATTCAGATGCATGGAGGACAGGTCCGTTCTTCGAGAACAAAGACCAAAGTGTTCGGGACTTGCCCTAATCAGGTTCAGACAGCGAGCCCAAAACCTCGAGGCGAGACCATGGATGAAGAGTACTTTAGATCGTGGGTCATAGTCTAGAATATGGAGACCTGGCGGAGAGCATATAAGAAATAAAAACAATACAACGAGATAAAAGACTGCCCAAAGTGAAGTAGTGTCTGTCCTTGCTAAAGTAGGCAATAGTATGCACTCAGCGGATAACAAGATTGCGTCTATCTCTTTGCAAAGCTCTCCTGGAAGTCTCCCATAGGGAGATTGCAGTCATTAGAGTGGCCTCATGCTCCACTAAGAGGGACCCAGTGGGTTCAACAGATACCCAAGGTCCGTGGCAAACCGACCCTAGTCCCGACCTCTCTTGCGTACTTTCGGCCCCGTTACGCCCGTCGGTGAATGCCTGCGACGGGGTTTCTAGGCCCTGTAAATATCGGGCAGGTCGGTATTCTTCTCCGGCTCTCAATTTCCACGGCCCAGTATTCGGCCGTCAACTCTCGCCATCTGGTACAAGCGACGTCCTAGGGGCGACTACTAGGACTAGGACTTGCAGTGTATTGCGTCGATCCGAAAGGAGAGAACATGGTAAGGGGTATATCAAGACTCGGCAAACTGCGACAAGGCCAAGGATCAGTCGGCTATTAGGAAAATGACATGACCGCATACAGCTGCCTACGCAGCGAGCACGAAAGCTGCAATGCCTGTTGATCCGTTCGTGGAGGCGACCATGTGGAATTGAAATTGTTTTGACAATGTGATATCAAGGGCGCTGGAGCCCCCTGAATATAGCTGCGTGACTTTTGACAATGATCTCATGCTGGGCTCGCTGCAGATGGGTTGAGGCGCACTCAAAGTGCGGCCAACAGCGCTGCATGGCAACTTCAAGTGAGGTCAACGAGTGAGTCGGCGACCACAGTATGCCGATGCCCGACGACGATTGTTCGGTCCAGTTTTGGGGGCCAAAAGGAGAGACAGGGTCGAGGTCTGATACGTAAGTGGGCATGGGGCCGCCTCACGTGATGACGCGATGGACAGCCCAGTGGGACAGTCCAACAACCAGGTACACTGATTTCCCAAATAAGGTAGTCGTTGTAAGGGACCCACCTTTTCCCCTTCTGGGCAATTGCCTCAAGGTAGTATTCTTACCATTATTGATGACCCATATCTGCAGGCACCACAATTGGAGTTGACAGGCTGTGCTGCTTTTTCGCTTCAAGCTACCTGCTATTGGACAGAATACTCAACGGTTTTCTTGATGCCTAGTCTTTAATTGGCCAGCATGCGAGCTCCAAGTTGATGTTCTTTCAACGCCCCCCTTCAGAATACGCCCAGCAAGGTATGCGGGCGAGTGATAGGGACTTTAGTCTAGCCGACTGCCCATGGCCAACTCTCAATATGTGAGCCGCGCCTCTATCGATAGGGCCGATGATTTGAACCTGATCATGCGATTATGCTGGCTCCTGGAAGGCGTGGGCCCTCGGTGTCGCAGTAAAATCCCATGACATTCGGGTCACCTCGGTGTTTTCAGTAGGGTCTTAGGCTTGTTTAACTATGGCTTTTATTTCGGTACTGTTACTTGCCATGTCAGTTACTACCTGCAATATCCAGCAAGCGATTAACATTGGAGTGGTCGTCGGGCTGAGTCACGTGGTTTGTCGCCGAACTCAACAAAATCCACCGGGGCCCAAATTCAAGAACTCGGAGCGGGTCATCACGTTAGATTGGTACCGACTAGCTGTGCATCGGCTCCTAACACTCATCCCGTTAAGGCGACCACTCATCACCATGGACAAGCCCTCATAGGGCAGGAGCTGCCCGTTGTGTCTGGCAAAGGTGGTGCCTGCGCGCTGCGGTGAGGTTGACAGCGTGAACGGTTCAAGGCGAGCGTCCAGGCAGCAGAATTAAGCTAGGTCCACCAGTGAGCTGGGTGGTAGTGTGGAAATGAACAAGGTTTGTGGCTTGGTTCACTGCCGTGCCGACCGGGAACTCCCTCTAACCCATCCGCTCCGCCATTTACTGCATTGTACTGCTCCTCTCTGGTAGCAGACCCGCGGCCCTGCCCTGCCAGTCCGACAGAGACAGTCAATCAGATCGCTTGAGCAGCATCTACTTGCGTGGATGTAGCATGTGTCATGGCTGCTATGCATACTTCATAGGTAGTCATTTGGAAGGATCATGAAGCAACATTCTCGGTCGACGGCTAGTGAGGGCTGTAAAGCAGGGGCCAGTTCATAAGGCGGTGGCGGGCGCCAGATGGAAGCTTTGGAGAACGACTGCGCCACGGCCGAGCATGCAGTATTCTTTAGCCAGCTGGTTTATCTTTCAAATACACCCTACAAAACAATAGATCGGTGCTCTTTGGCCTACAAGTACCGCAATCGGGAAAGATGCAGATAATCTCTCATTCTTTCTTATACCCGTGAAAGTTTAGACATCAAGACAAATCAGAGGGGAGATCAGCCTCTAGGACAGTCAGACTGACTGGGAAGTTGGCAAGCTCCATCTGAAATTTCAAGCAGAGGAGCAACGGTGGTAATAAAAAAAAACGCGACAGGGCACCCCAGAATTTGCTCGTTTGTGTTCAGGTCAACCGAAGCCATTCTGGGGCAATGGCAGTAGAGCTAGCTTCCTACAAGCTAAAGAACTTATGTTTGCTTCGGACCCAGCTCCTGACCTCGACAACTCTGTGGGTTCCTGGGGGCCATGCCCCCCGTTTCCAGTTCGAAGGAAGAGGCTTGTCATCCTGGAGGCCCTTTGATCGATCATGGCAATGACCACTTTGGTTAAATGCGCACCGCGTGTTGGATGTTGAGCCACTTTCCCACCGGCATGTCCAGACCTCTATTCGTCTACTAGCCCGCCTGACAGAATGTTCCCGGATGGGCAGGCGAACCGAGAACCCGCGATGTTGAGATAAACGGACACCCCAGATGACGCGACAGCTCCCGGGCTCGATTACGAAATATGACATCCGTAGACGACCACGGCGCCCGCTACTTGGGGTGACCTTGCACGCAGTCGATAATTGCAAAAGTCTGGCCCGTCAACAAGCAGGCCTATGCACGACGTCTTGAATGGTCTTGAAATTGTCCATCGCCCTATTTACTGGCTAGAACACTCTATGCTGACTCCGAAACGCGTTTAGTCGTCAGCGAACTGTGGAACATCACGCTTGTGGCGGTATGAAGATAAAATACTACCAGGGCTATTGCTTGAGATTAGCCTTCATTGTTCAATCCAAGGAAAGTAATTGTTGTACTAATACTTTACCTGATCTCAGAGGCACCGCATTTCTCTCGTTCCTGCTTCTGGAGTTTGTATTCGTACCATACCTTACCTTACCTTCATGTCCCTTTCATTTGACCAGCGGAAGTTCCATGCTCTGCCTCCTGTCTCTTCTGCATAGCGCCATGCAAGTGAAGCCAGGTTCGAGGTCGCCTGTCTCGATCCTTCGCGTCGTTACCCCACATTCGGTCTCTGGATGGTGCCAGTCAAAGGCATGCTTGTACATCCTGGCTTGACATTGGCAGGGAAAGCCCATGGGCGCGTTAGGCGAAGAGTTGTGGGCGCTTCGCAACGTTGCCGAGGACTCAGCGTAAATACGGGCCGTAAGGCGCATCGGAGGGTTCAGTTACTCGCAACGATGTGAAGGAAGGATTCGATCATTAGGAGCCGCTTGTACATGATGAAAGCCCGCGATAGCTTAGATAAGACACCCCGGGGAGGGGGTTTAGCATGCTCATTGTGGAAGAGAGGATGTGTGCATAACAGGCAGGGGTGAGTGTAGATAAGCAAGCGACAAGGAGGGCGTAGATGCAACATTCGTTAAGATGGGGGTCAGGAGTATACTGTGCGTTATGTCACCTGCCGCACTTCTCGCACATGGCGGCGATTGGCACTAACAGAGCCTGCGCCTGTCTCGCTTCTTCCGCTACTTTCCCGGAGTGCGCTAGCGCCAGTCGCCAGCTATGTGTGAGTTAAGCGCGGCCCTGCGATAGGCTGGACTTCCACTCCCAAATTTGAGGTTTTGACATGCACCTAAGCGCTGCGCTTAGTCGGTCATCACAGCCAGACAAAGTAAACAGAGCCGACGACCCTCTCTCATCGCGACAACAACAGCACGACAACAATTGAGGCTGCACAGCGCAGACACGAGCTAGGATTGTTGATTCTCATTTGAGAAAGCGACGTCGCCAACGCTGGAACTCTGCAATGAGGGGGACCTCGAATCCTTCCGCTTGAGAACGCTGCGTGGATGCCGAGTAACCATAACTATGACGATGAACGCGCCGTTAAGGTGGAACAATAGGAGACAGAGGGTGTTCAAATCTGTCTTTGACACAGAAATTTTGCAACCCACTCCCTATTCGACACCCTCGCAAAGGTTCTCAGGCCGAGGTGAGCCATTTGGTGGCCCACCTCCCTCACCACTGCCACCACTACACCATCAGTCACCAGCCCGCCCGCACTTTCCCAGCAGTAGCAAGGCCTTGGACCTTCAAGGATCACCTCCATCGACACGTTTAAGTGCGAGTGCGCCCTCTCCTACTCAGGCCAGCGATCAAGTTCGTTGGGACCGGGCGTGGCATGTTGTAACGACCCGTATTCAGCTACCCCCTTCGGTCGCCGCAGAAGACTCCTTCGGCAACCTGGCTCCCGAATCGCAGGACTATGATGCGGAATTCTACGAGAGTCTAAACCTGGTACTGCATCCCATGAGGCATGCCCAGCACGCCACTCACACCGAAGACATTCTTGCCTGGCACACCCAGCAGGTTCGCCACCACTTTGCCCACCACGTCCTGCCCCTGCTCTCTGCATGCAACAGCTACGGTGACCAGGGGCAAGTGCTCCTTGGAAGCATCCATACTCTAGAAGCGGCGCACCGCCAATATCTCTATGGTTTGTCCCTCATCGTGCGGGGTCTCGACAGCAAAAATGCAGACATTGCGGTTGATAAGTTCCGGCGGGATTTGCACGCTGTCATCGGCAACTCCATGTCCCAGGCGCTTATGGAATCCCTTCGGGCTGTTCTGGGCCGCTTGATGAGGGTGATTCTGCCCATGCAGGCCCAGTCTTCCTCCGGACGATCTTGGGAGACTGGCCTGCAAGGGGAGAACCAGGCAGCAACAACGGCAGCGGCAGCGCGCCAGGAGCTACTTCAAATGGTTGAGGCGCTGCACAAAGCTGGGCTCGCCGGAGAGAAGTTTGAAGTCCTATTCGCTGAGCTGATGGATGCCATCATGGTTGAGCACATCAAGACATCCTTCGCCGGGGTTTGGACGCAGTCGAAAGCGGGTAACGGGAAGGATGCGCCGCGGTCGTCTTTATCGTCTCGTGCGGCGAAGCTGGGTACCCCCTCACGCTGCATTGCTGCACTCAATGATTGGGTGGAAAACCACTACGCACGGCTAGCCGTCGAGGTGTTTGCTCGCTTGGGAAGCGGGGAGATTGCCTGGGGCGATGTCGAAAAGTGGAAGGAGATTGCAACCGGAAGATTGGCAGTCATGCGCATACATGAGCTTTTTGACATTGTGTTGCAATGGCCCGAGAGCAAAGGGGCGTTGGATGACCTGCGGATGGCCATCACAACTCCGCAGAGACGGTTACAGTTGACAGATACATTTTCGGCGGCACTGCAAAAACGCCTGTTACACCCTGGACGGTCAACCCTGGACATACTCCGCGTGTACATTTCGATGATCCGGACTTTCCACGTCCTGGATCATTCCAAAGTACTCCTAAGCCGAGTGGTTCACTCCCTTCAGCTCTACCTATGTCAGAGAGATGATGCTATTCCTATTGTTGTTACTGGCCTTTTGTCCAACCCTGATGACATCAGCACAGAGGCTGGCAAAAGCAAGCTTGTTGAGTTGGCGGTCCTTCTTAATGACCCGTCCCAACAACGGCGTCCAGCGACAGACGATGAGGATCTGGATTGGGATGACATGGAGTGGATTCCCGACCCGGTTGATGCCGGTGTCAATTACAAGCGCCCCAAGTCAGAAGATGTCATTGGCACTCTCATCAATGCTCTGGGCTCGCAGGACATTTTTATCAAAGAGTTTCAGCACATTATTGCGGAAAGGCTATTGTCTACACAAACCGAGTTCCCGCAAGAAATCAGAGTGCTCAATCTCTTAAAGAGGCGCTTCGGAGAGAACGCCTTGCAAAACTGCGATGTCATGATCAAGGACATTCAAGACTCGAGGAGAGTCGACTCTATCATATCCAAGACCATCAGAACAGGCTACATTGGCGGGCCTCCTCGTAGATCCAAGGATCTTCCATCTTATCACACAAAGATCCTATCTCGACTCTTCTGGCCCAGTCTGGATAGAGAGCACTTCATCCTTCCTCCACCAGTCGTCGAGATTCAAAGTCGTTATGATGAAGAGTTTGAGCACCTCAAGTCTTCTCGAAAGCTCACGTGGCTCAACAATCTCGGTAATGCCACTGTGAACTTGGATTTGGAAGACCGCACGATTGAGAAAGAATGCAAAACCTATGAAGCGGTCGTTATCTACGCCTTCCAAGAAGATGAATCCTATACTGGGCCATTTCCATTTAGGCGGACAGTCAGCCAGCTTGAGGAAACGCTCCAGATGGATGATGATCTCATTCGCTCTGCCATATCCTTCTGGGTCGGCCAACGCGTCCTTCGTGAGATTGATCCCGGTGCTTTTGCCGTCCTCGAGAAGCTGGAGGACGATGCCGACGCAGGCGCAGCGGCTACTGGGCCCTCCCCTGCCGGAGCTCTGGCCCCTGAATCGGGCGATTTGTCTCCAAAGAAGCCTGCCGCCATGGACAGCAAGGAGAAGGAGAGGCGGCAGGTTTACTGGCAGTTTATCGTAGGCATGCTTACCAACTCGAGCCCGGCCATGCCACTTTTTCAAATTGCGATGATGATGAAGATGCTCATCGCGGACGGTTTTCCCTGGAGCAACGAGGAGCTGCAAGAGTTCCTCGGCGAGAAGATTGCAGGAGGAGAGTTGGAGTTGGTTGGGGGCAAATACCGACTTCCTAAGAAATGAGTAGATGCTGCCTTTAGTCTTTTCTTCGCATGGCCCAGCTGACTCGTCTTGGCTGGGACCTGGGGCATGGTGCTTTACGTGGCTAGCAAGGGTTTGATGTGCAAATATTAGCTGCGCCCTCCAGCTTGGGCAAGCAGATTGAGAGATGGGTTTTAATGACAGCCCAGTGAAGTACTCGTACTATCTTTCACCAAAGACCGTTGCGCGAACAATAAGATTATGATACCCTGAACATCCGGTCATCTTGAACTGAAAGTGGTGCTGTTAGTAACAGAAACCCTATATTGCATTCGACTAGTCAATGGAGTTGGTAAGGCAGCCCACTGAGAGCTTCTTACTACGTCAATACCGAAACCCTATACTTAGTCAAGCAGGCTGTTTGTTGCCAAAGACCCCCGCTGGCTGCGGAGACAATGGTGATCGTCACCATTGTGTCCAGTCGCCGAAGAGAAAGGATCAGCTTCGAAACACTCGATATTCGCGAGATGATGCAGTGCGTTTGATAAGTGCTCGCCTGTGGCCGTTCATATTCCGTAACGTGTTCTTGATCATCTTTCTCAGTTGACAGTTGTCAGTCTGTCGCTCACCTGAGACAGTTGACCTACCCATGAGCCCTGATATTCAGCGGTGACAGGTCTGAAACGATTAGGATATAGGAACTCGCAAAATAGAGACTTTTTTATCACCCCGTTTAATGATGACCTTTCACAGATACTCGTGCTCTATGACTTCCTTGAGTGCATCAGAAACTGACAATGCGTTGGCTGCTTGGCCATCAGCGCGACTCCTGTTCAAGAAGCTTGTCGCATCTCCTACTTGAAGCACCGTATTAGCTGCTCCAGGCGTTCTCACGACATGTCGAAAGTTTGCGTTTTCATAATCATTACGTATGTATAGCCAACGGCTTATAGCAGATCATTGTAGTATTCGACGGTCAGACTATTATTGACTGTGATTTAGCATACTCGAAGCGCCCAAACCCCCTGATAAGAGTCTCAAGCTTCTCGCTTGATTTGTTCACTTGTTCACTTTTTGATAAAGACCTCGTGAGTGCGTCGGAATGCTTTCGTTGGTCGTCTGTTTGTCTTAACTTTTATCTGGGTTTATCTTTTTAAAACGCAATTATTGACGTTTGTAAGTGCGGCATCGGTATCAAAAGAGAATAGAAGCTGCTATAACATGTGATTGCTGTCACTATACTAGAACCTGGCTGCTACCTCCATGCCTGCGAGTTTGCGAGGGGCTAGACCCAACGACACCGTTTGGTCGGATAGTGGAAGCAACTATGACAGAAGTATCGGGTAATGTACTAGAAACCCACGAAAACTTCCTGCTGCCCTTGAATGAACAGCTTCCCTCATAAGAAATAGACTTATGACGATGGTATAGTCAGTGAGCTTGCGTCCAGGATCTATATCGAGTGCCATTTTGTCGAAGCATGACAAGGCATGAGCTCCAAAAGCAGCAAGCTGCCCCGTCACGAAGACAGTATCGGCCAAATTGCATTCAAAACCAACGTTAGGTGACTTTGGACTGGCGAGGATATTATGGGAGCACGCTTCACCCTTTCGATGATGGCTGTGCTATCACCTGCTAAGGGTCTCTGACGGGACCTTGCTCTGCTCGCTTGTTGATTTATATACAACGATTGTTGACCTAGCCAGCACATACGACCATACCCACTGGAAAACTCGGGATCCCGTCCGCTCTCCCATAGATAAGCCAGTGAGGGCCGGATTAGTAGTTGGGTCGGTGACGACCAGCGAACACCTGGTGTTGTATGTATTTTGACGTTATCCATGATTTCTTTTGTTTTTCCTCCCTATTCTTACTGGACGTCACAAAATCAGGGATGGGGTCGACATCCGCAAAGCGAAAAGCGCTATGCATAACTGAAAGAACTACAACTACAATTGTATTGTTGACACGGTGTGATCTTATTCGTTGTTTTCCTAAATATGCAGCACGAACCTTTGCGGGCTATGCTCAGAAAGCTCAGCCTTGAACGCTGGCATGTATACCTGCTTGCTCATTGCAGATGTACAAGTATAGCCGGATGATCATGCCCAAGTCCGAAGGAACCTTTGGGTCAGGTATCTATTTCATAAGCGGCTCCTACACCCGGGCTATAATGTTAAAGTGGACTCCAGAGCTAGCTGCGGCGCGAGCGCTGCAACGTTTTGAGTAGGCATCTACCTTCGAGCATCACGGCCAGTACACTTAGATACCATAATTGCACATTACGGGATCAACTACGATATAGTAGTCAACAGACGTATGGAAGCTGACATTATATGCAAGCTAGGAACAGGTGGCCAAATCCATTATCCGGATAACCATAAGCCGTCGGATGTTGACCTGGAACGATCTCGATGGGCTTAGTTCCGGGATGCCGGCGGCCTTAACCCGAAACTCATCCTGGGCCTTTTCTTGCATTTAACCTCTTCTAGTCTGGAGGAAGCTGCCGAGAAGGGGCTCAAAGTGACCTAGAATCTAACGTTAAACGGTCATCTGCGCTCCGGTATTGCCGACATACCCGCTTATCATAAGAACAACGTCTCCGACTGGTTTAGGCATTGATGGTGAAGCAAACAGCGACCGCAGTAACCCATTCGAGAATATGAGGAGAGGCCTCTTCGCCGAATGTGGAGGATAAATGGATCCAATAGTTCTCAAGCCGTATTGCGCGTTTTTCATATACCTACGCCGGTGCCGTGGAGGTGTTGGTCATTGAGAAAACAAGCAGAAATTGTTCCTCTGGATCTTCCATATGTTAGTTCTTTGGAGGGTCCAGTCTCAGCCTTCGTGTTTTCATCTGTCGGAGAGCGCATCAAAGCTGTCTTCATTGGCTTCCAGAAGTTCTGGCCGTAGGGGAAGCCCTTGGTAATAGCTCCACAGAACTGGCCTGCGGGGGGAGGGTTTGGAGGCAAGTACGGATAAACAGGTAGCTAAGTGAGTAAATCTTTAGGATTAATACAAGAACAAGGTTGATGTTTACGTCCTTTGAAATCCAGACCCTTGAACCTTCTTGCTGTTGATGTGATTGGACACTAAGGAGCGATCCCTCCGTTGGGAAAGTTGTATGGACTGTCAATCTCCAGACGGTGTTCCCAACAAAAGGTCAAAGTCTGAGCTATGATTAGCTAATTTTTCTTGAAGAATACTTTCACTCCATGCTGGCCGAAAAAGCAAGGCGTACTCAAGTCAGACTACCTGTTTACTTGTTTAAGGACTGTGAAGTAAGGTATACAATCTCACATGGTCATCTCAGGAGTTTAGTTTGGCTACATTTTCACAGTAACCCCAAAGAAGAGAAAGGTACTCCACCAACTCCCTGTCCATAAGCTTCTGTAATGCTGTATCCTGTATAGCCCTGTTTGGCAGTGGCCTCGCACTTGGCCGGGTATTGCTGGATCTTAAAGTGCAAGTTCCACAGGTAAAAAGTACCGTAAGAGTACATAGTAACTAAAAAGTGAGTTTAGGTGCCCTCATGATGTGTTGAACCGCAGGAAAGTGGTGATATGAAGGGAATGGGAGAGATATGCCGCCTCCCGGGCCATCACGTTCGGAAGTGAGGTCACCGGACCCCACTTGACAGGGTGGCCGGCCGCATGGCTATACAAGGCTGTATTCGAACTATTGCAACATCTGTGGTAGTAGTTGGGCTGGTGATAATCAGTTGATCCCTGCTATTGCATCTTAGTTAAACGTCCTGCAATTTGTCTCCCCAAGGAAAGAGTGTTCAAACTCAACTAAAGACGACATTCCTTCTATGGCGCGGAATAAGTGCTCACTATTTTATCTTCTTTCCATGTTCATACCGTTTGGAACCTGGTAGGCTCAATAAGAAGGCAGGCATACCATGGAGCCCAACCTTAAACCGTATGTGGGAACAAGATGTTCTCGTCTAGAAACCTGCCTTTTTCATTCTACGAAACATACGAATGACATCAACAAGTGAGGCCACAATGTGCTATTTTCGCCGTGCCGGCAACAGCGAAAATACTGCCAAGTTTTGATGGTAAGTTTGAAGCGGGGAACATTCTCAAACAATTCCTCCCATCTCGCAAAGGTTCACGAACATGAAGATGGGTATGAGCAAACAAAGGTAAGAGAAATCGCACCTCCTAATCATTGCCGCATCCTGGCTAGCTGGCTAGTGTATGTAATTGCTATTCGGCAACAACCTGAGGAGTGTTAATTACTGCCGTACAAGTCAATAGTAATGACAGACATTATTTAGTTCCTCATCCATACCTCAAACTTTAATGAAAAATATCAGCATGCATGTCCTCCCCCGACATCCCAAAGACCCGTGCAACATCATTCAAGGCTATCAGGAAGATCTGCGCCGAACATTTGGATGCAACCTCTCATGCCGCCGGATCAGTCTAGTGGCTGGCTGAGGAGTATACGGTGGCACATGACGACAGCGCGCTTGTCATTTAGATAGAAAGGAGGGTCCCCAAAAATGATTCGGATACCGGTCCCATGACCAAACCTATGTCGAGCTACTAGGGATAGATTACAGGTTTTGTCTCAGTATCGCGGAGTCGAGGACTCTTTGTTGGTAAGGAACTCGACGTTCTTCAAAGCCTTACCAGCTGCGCTAATCTCAGTGGCATGTATGGGGCAAAGTTCAATTTGACGTCAATCTAACATGAATCCACAGCTTCGGATAGCTCCGCAGAAGGCGATAACTCAAACTTTTGTCGGCGGTAGCAGCAAATCTCACTCAACCTTTCTTTTGTATAACATGGCTGCGGACCCGAATCGTTCCACGTGAGCAGACTACGTTACCCTTCGCGATGAATAGCAGCCATGCCCGTGTTACCATCATGCCATGATCATGATCACAGTTCCACGATGGATGCGGTAAGAGCTCAAAAAAGACGGGCCGTAAAGTGCTTGCATCGCGAGCAGGTGGGGTCCTCTCCATTGGCACGAGACCAAGATGCAGTTAGCTGAGAGAGGGCGAAGCGGGGTCAGCCCAAGCCGAG